TCCCCGATGTGATTGTTGTTTGTTGTGATGTGTGGTGTTTCTTGAGCCGGTGTCTTTTGGCAGACCTTGCGAACAGAACGGGGCATGGACTCGGACGGCGGACATGACGCGAGCACACCTGGCTTGCATCTCTCGCCTCTCTCTCTCTCTCTCTCTCTCTCTCTTTCTCCTCCCCCTCCCCCTGCCACCCTGTCCCGTGCCCCCCGCCCCTCTTGCCGTCATCCCCAGTTGTCACATGCCTCGGAGGAGAATCCGAAGGAGGAGGAGAGGAGGAGGAGGAGGAGGAGGAGGAGGAGGAGGAGGAAGAGGAGGGCGAGGAGGAGGGGGAGGGGGAGGAGGAGGGGGAGGGGGAGGTGATCGCACTCGGACCAATTCGAAGTTCACGGGCTCGGAGGACGCGTAGAGGGGGGGGGGGGCAGCGAGGGCTGCGGAAAAGGCCTTCTTCAGGGCCCCGACAGGGGCCCTTCACAGGGCCCAGAAGGAGGCCTTGAGGGCCCAAAAAGGGCACCTCCCCCCCCCTCCCCACTGGTTCGCGCCCAACGAGCGTGTCAAAGGGAGGACGAGGAGGAAAAAGAGGTCCTTCGTCCCTCGACCTGGGGCCGGGGAGTAGTTCTCGTCGCAGGATCGCGCCGCATCGCCGATGTATCGGCGATGTTGCGCGATCCAGAGCAAGACTGTTTCCATCAGTGCGTCGCCGATGCATCGGCAATGCGGCGCGGCACTCCTACTCTGCGCATTCTGGCCCAACACGGCGGGCTCCAGCGAGGAGGTGGTGAGGAGGACGAGGTCGGGTGTGGGTGAGGAGGAGGCGGCGGGAGGGGAGGATGAGTACGAGGCGAAGGGAGATGCCCTTGGAGGTCTCTGGACGCTTCTGGAGGTCCCAAACAGAAGAAAACGTCGAACACATCGATCGCCGACAAGAAGGGGAAGGAGGAGGGAGAGAGGAAGAGGAGAAGACCTCGGAGCGTCCGAGGTATGAGGGTTCCAGGGGCTCCGAGGTGTCTGACGAGTCCTGGGAGTCTTGGATCATGAAGCGTCGCATGGCGTCATAGAGCGAATTCTGCCAAATGGAAAGAAACTAGAGGTTTTCCAGGTTTCGTCACATGTCAGCCCTTCGGAGGACCTCCAGAGACATCCGGCCCAGTAAGCTGACCATGTGTTATTGACGTTGGCATGGCGCCGCGCGCGCAACAAGAAACGTGCACTGGCGACGATGTTTGATATCATGTCGAGACCCAGAATGCCAGTGAAACTGAGGGTTTTCGCCATGTAATGTTCGAAGTCCAGTTGGCACTTGCTGGTGATTTCCATCTGGCGCCGCGTACGCGCATACGCGCGCGCACGCGGAGGCTCAATCCGACATGCGTCTTGTTCCACCATGTAGCATGTCCTGCTGGGGCCAAGAATGCGAGTGAAATGCATGTGTGTTTGATCATCCAGTGTTCGAAGACAAGTTGGCAATGCGCTAACGATGTTCATATGGCACCGCGTGTGCGCGTACGCGCGCACACGCACAATCATAAACACATGTTCTGTATTATGTGCCAGATCTTGCTCAGGACCAGAGTGCAAAAGAAGTGATTGGTTGTTCGCCACTTGGTCTTCGAAGTTGCGTTGGCCATGTGCTGCTGATGTTCATGCGTCGCCGCCAGCGCCCCCGGGCCCCGGAGCGCCGCCGCGAACGAAGCAATCGCTGGGAAGAAGAGGGAAGGGTCGGGGATGGACAGAACCCCCACCCTGACACGTCGAGTAGTGAATTGTCCGTTTTCGGTTCTCGAGAGGGCGCCGCGGCCGTCAATTTCCAGGCTTGCGCCCGCCAGGTTTGGGCCCGAGGTCGTTTTCGCTAAACCACGTTTTGCTAAAGGGGATTCTGTCCATCCCCGAGAGGGGGTCGGCGGGCGCGCCCACGAGGCGGGGCCCCAGACCTCTCCGGCCTCCCACCCGCACCGTCGCGCAAGCGCACGCCCGCGGAGGGTGCTCACGGACCCACTGCCACCGCCACGCCACCCACCCATCGTGGAATGCTGGAGCCATCGCCGGGGTTTCACTGGCGACGCGGGCGGAGCGGGTTCGATGGTCTTTCTCGACGGTTCGAGGGAGGCAGGGTAACCCACTCTCGATCTGGGCCACGGCAGAGTACGAATAGACCAGTGCGCAAATCATGTTCAGAATGGTTGTGGCGCGTTGGGAGGAACCACGGTAAACCACGCATCATCTGCTGTTGCTTGCGCCCTGTAGATTTCACGTTGACACCATGTGTCAAACATCTCCTAACCTAGGGGCTGATGCTCGACTCGTCGTGTCGCAAAGGTCTCTCACTGGGTCTGTGGGAGGGAAGGATGTAGCAACACGTTGTGTCTTTCTTGTTCAAGATGCTTCTGAAGTCCCGCCGATCCCCACAGAGCTAGCCTTACAGAAAATCCTACCATATGCAGCTGTGAGTAGCGCAGGGTACGATCTTCTCCTCATGGGCAGCGCGCCGCGCGAGGGATGGAGCGCGGGGCAGCGCGCATGGAGCCCGCGAAACGTGTGAGGGGCGTGCCGACATGGGCAGGGGGGCGCCGTGCGAGGGCGGCCACCTGGGGCCGTCAGTGGAGCGCCCTATGGGCCCACGAAACGTGTGAGGGGTGTCCCACCATGGGCGCGGTGGTGCCATGCGAGCGCAGCCACCGGGGCCGTCGGTGGAGCTCCCTATGGGGCCGCGAAACGTGTGAGGGGTATCTCGAAATGGGCGCAGTGGTGCCGTGCGAGCGCGGCCACTGGGGCCTTCGGTGGAGCTCCCTATGGGGCCACGAAACGTGTGAGGGGTCTCCCGGAATGGGCGCGGTGGTGCCGTGCGAGCGCAGCCACCTAGACCTTCGGTGGAGCTCCCTATGGGGCCACGAAACGTGTGAGGGGTGTCCCAGAATGGGTGCGGCGGTGCCGTGCGAGCGCAGCCACGAAACGTGTGAGGGGTGTCCCGAAATGGGCGCGGTGGTGCCATGCGAGCGCAGCCACCTGGGGCCTTCGGTTGAGCTCCCTATGTGGCCACGAAACGTGTGAGGGGTGTCTCGAATTTGGTGCGGTGGTGCCGTGCGAGCGCGGCCAACTGGGGCCTTCGGTGGAGCTCCCTATGGGGCCACGAAACGTGTGAGGGGTATCTCGAAATGGCGGCGGTGGTGCCGTGCGAGCGCGGGCACTGGGGCCATAGGTGGAGCTCCCTATGGGGCCACGAAACGTGTGAGGGGTGTCCCGCCATGGGCGCGGTGGTGCCGCGCGAGCGCGGCCACTGGGGCCTTCGGTGGAGCTCCCTATGGGGCCACGAAACGTGTGAGGGTATCTCGAAATGGGCGCGGTGGTGCCGTGCGAGCGCGGCCACTGGGGCTTTCGGTGGAGCTCCCTATGGGGCAACGAAGCGTGTGAGGGGTGTCCCGAAGTGGGCGCGGTGGTGCCATGCGAGCGCAGCCACGAAACGTACGAGGGGTGTCCCGAAGTGGGTGCGGTGGTGCCGTGCGAGCGCGGCCACTGGGGCCTTCGGTGGAGCTCCCTATGGGGCAACGAAACCCGTGAGGGGTGTCTCGAATTTGGTGCGGTGGTGCCGTGCGAGCGCAGCCACTGGGGCCTTCGGTGGAGCTCCCTATGGGGCAACGAAACCTGTGAAGGGTGTCCCGAAATGGGTGCGGTGGTGCCGTGCGAGCGCGGCCATTGGGGCCTTCGGTGGAGCTCCCCATGGGGCCACGGAACGTGTGAGGGGTGTCCCGAAATGGGGACATGCGGAGGACAGAAGCAGGGATGGGAGGATGGAGGAGGGGGAGCAGGAGGAGGAGGAGAGGAGGAGCGGAGAAAGGAACGCGGGGCACTGTCTTTTCAAAACGAGGACCAGGCACCAAAGGACGGCTGGAAAAAACAATGTCCACGGGTGAGCCCTTTTCGGTGCCTCTTTTGGGCATCTTGGGAGCCTCGCCGGGCCTCTTGGGCGCTTGCTGGCGGTTTTCGTGAGCCCTCTTGGGGCGGAGGGCTAAACATGTCAGTTCGAGTTGCCCCTCTTGGGTACCTTTCGGGGCCCTGTTGGGGCCTCCTGAGCCACCTTGGGCGGCTCTTGGGCCGTCTTGGGCCGTCTTGGGGCCCTCTTGGGAGTTTCTTGGGTCATTTTGGAGCGCTCTCGGGGGCGTCTTGAGCAGTTTTGGATGCAGCTGAGACCGAAGAGGCGCTCTTGGGCCCATCGCCGGGGGAAGAGCTCGGAATGTCTGCTCGTATTCCCCTCTTGGGCCCTTCGTCAAGCCCCCTTGGGGGGCTCTCTTGGGCCGTGTTGAGAGCCCCTGGGGCCGTCTTGGAGTCGTCTTGAGGTTTTCTTGGGCCGTCTTGGAGCCCTATTGGGGGCCTCATGGGCCGTCTTGGGACGATCTTGGAGGGCCATCTTGACGCCGTGAAGATGAAAAAGCGAGTACATATGCTAAACATACATGTTTGGACCTCTTGGGGCTCTCTCGGCGGTCCTCTGGGAGCACTTTTGGGCCGTCGTGGGGGCCACGTGGGCCGTCTCGAAGCCATCTGGGACCGTCGAAGGGCTACCTTGGGCCGTCTGGACGCGTATGTGGACTGTCTGGGCGCTTGGTGTAGTCCTTCTTGGGCCGTATTGGGGCTCTGGAGAGGTTCCAGGGGTGCCGGGGATACGTTTGGGATCTCCGACCCTGACCCCCCCCCCCCTTGATCGGATTTCAACCCCGCAGGCGAGGGAGAGGAGGAGGGCGCAGCCCCTCATCGCACGCGCCTGTGCACCCCCGAGAAGCGGGGGTCGGCGGATATGATGCTGCCGCTGGTGCAGTCTATACTTTCCGCTGGGCTTCTGATTTTCGCACTTCTGACAACCCCTGAGATCCGACGTTGGAAAGAAAGTTGCAACACCGCAAAAAATCACAACCGGACCCCCGGACCCCATCTGAAATTGAGATGAGACGCCCGGCTCGAAAAAAGTGAGTCGCCAGGATCTCAGGGACCTGTGACGGCTTGGATGAGGAACAGATTTTCTCTGGACTTGTCGGTCCGAGAGCCTCGGCAACCGAGAGCCAGTCGCCTCCGCGCATTCTCGATATTGCATATTCCCTTACCGCACTGGGCCATGGCGCCAGGACGCGCCGCCGCGATGATGGCCGCGCTGGCAAGCCGCGCGGCCTCCATCGCAATGCACTCTGCCCAGACACCGACACTCTCCATGGACAAAGGCCGGCTCGAAGACCCGCAGAGCCGGATCGAGGATCCCGCGAACCGGCTGAAGAAGACCGCCGCGGAGATTGCAGACCGGCTCGCCAGGGACGTGGCGCAGCTCGAGGAACCGACGGACCGACTCGGAGAGGTCTGGCCACGCGCAGAAGGGGGCAGGGGGAGGGGGGAAAGGCTTCTCAGAAGCACCCATGCTTCTTAGCAGGCGCGGGCCTCCTTTGCAGATGCAAGGCCGGCGCCTTTTAAGAAGCAGCCTCCTCCTCAGAAGCCTTCCCCCCTCCCCCTACCCCCCTGTGCGCGCCGCCAAGAGGTGGAGAACCTCTCCGCGGGGGGGCCGAAGGCGACGCGCGAGAGCGACACGAGGTCCTTCCAGTGGAGCGAGAAGCGGCTTGGCCCTCCCATGCTCGAGAGCAAGGCCTGCTCGGTGGCGTGGAACTCCGACGCGCCCTTCTCGGCGTGGCAGGAGCGTGGGCCTCGAGCAGATGCGGGTCCTGGCCTCCTCCCTGTCTTTCTCTCGAGGTGTATGTTGCTCCTGTCGCACTCAAGGAGCACATCCCCCAGAAATAAAGGACACCTGAGAAACACCAATCAACATCTGTCAGGGCTATGGGGTTATTGGGCGATAGGTTATTGGGCGATAGGGCGATGGGGCTGTGGGGCTATAGGGCTATGGGGCTACAGGGCTGTAGGGCCAATGGGCTATAGATCTATACGGCTCTAGGGCTATAGGGCTCTAGGGGCATAGGGCTATAGGGCTGCAGGGATATAGGGCAATGGTGTTATGAAGCTCTGCGACTATAGGGCCATAGGGCTACGAGTCTATAGGGTTATGGGGCTTTAGGGCTATAGGACCGTAGGGCTAAAGGGCTATACGGATATAGGGCTATAGAGCTATAGGGTTATAGGCATATAGAGCTATAGGGATAAAGGGCTCTAGGGGCTTTAAGGCTATAGGGCTATAGGGCCATAGGGCTAAACATCTATAGGGCTATGGGGCTATAGGACCATAGGGCTATAGGGCTATTCGGATATAGGGCTATGGGGCTATAGGGCTATAGGGTTGTAGGCATCTAGACGGCTATAGGGCTAAAGGACGATAAGGCTATAAGGCTATTGGGATATAGGGCTCTAGGGCCATAGGGCTATTGGGCGATAGGGCTATCGGGCTATAGGGCTATGGGGTTATAAGGCTATTGGGCTATAGGGCTATAGGGGTATAGGGCGATCGGGCTATAGGACTATAGGGCTATAGGGGGCTCTTGGGCGATAGGGCGATAGGGGCTATAAGGCTATAGGGCTATAGGGCTATAGAGCTATAGGGCTATAGGGCTATTGGGCTATTGGGCTTTGGCGCTATAGGGCTCTAAGGCCATACGGCTACAGGGCTATATGGCACCTGGGCACCTGGGCACCCGGGCACCTGGGCACCGGGGCATCCGGGCATTCGGGCACCCGGGCACCCGGGCACTCGGGCGGGCCGCGGAAGTCTGTGGCTAACTTCACCTAACCATACGAATCCGCTAGGACCCCTATAATCAAAGAAAAGCTCTGATTGGGGAATTTCGAGCAGGCAATCAAGTCGCAAAACAGTGGCGAATGTTCATCGCCTCCCAGGGCCCGACACATGAAAACCCTCCAGTTTCGGTCCTGCTTTGGTGCTCGAAATTCCTTCTGGTGAGCAAGGCTAAAGTAGGTTGGAACAGTGCAACTCTAGATGTCTTGTCCTGTCTGACGCAGGGCCTGCCATTTGACGGGCAGTCGCAGTGCCTTTCCCACGCAAGGCGGCGCGTTAAAATACGAGTGGCCCGCGCCGTGAGGACCACAAAGGCCTCAGCTCGGCACATCCCTCCTCATGCATGTCCTGCACCCCACGTACTCTGGGGGACGTGGCAGCACGAGGGATTCGCAGCTCAATTCACACCTAGCGCACTTCGTGCCTCATGGGTGCGCAGCTGGACACAGGGACGGTTCCTTGGGGCCTCGATTCGGCACATTCGATCCGGCACACACTTTACACACTTTGTGCTTCATGGGTGTTCAGGTGGCCACAAAGACGGCTCCTTGGGGCTTCAATTCGGCACACCCTTGATTTGCGCATCTCGTCATTCATGGACCTCGAGGGGCGATCCGCTGGACCCCATGACGGCTGCAGGGAGCTTCAATTCGGCACACCGTGCACGCATTTCGTGCCTCATGGACTCCCAGGGGCCCTACGGTTCCAGGGGAGCTTCGAGCCGGCACAGCTTTCACGCACTTCGAGGTTCCTTGACCCACAGAGGCCGTTTGTTAGTTCCGAAGGCCGCTTGTCCCCCAAGGGATGCCAAGATGGCCCTGAGAAAACTTCATCGACTGGCACCGACCCTCGTCGAAACCATACCCCGAACACCCACAGATTACAGCATCTGCTTGCGAGTTTCCCCTGGGGGGGGGCGCCGTGACTCCCGCTCTACGGGCTCAAATATGCATCTCACCGTCCCCCATGTCATCATCATCATCAGCATCATCATCATCATCATCAGCAGCAGCATCATCATCATTAGCATCATCAACATCATCATCACCATCACCACCATCATCATCATGATCATCATCATCATCATCATCATCATGATCATCATCATCATCATCATCATCATCATCATCATCATCATCATCATCGTCCTCATCATCATCATCATCATCATCATCATCATCATCATCATCATCATCATCATCGCCATCATCAGCATCCTGATTCAAGTCATCAGAATCCACAGCAACAGCACCCAACAATATCCTCATCAGTATCATCATCACCACCGCCACCACCATCATCGCCATCATCATCATCATCATCGTCGTCATCATCATCGTCATCATCATCATCAGCATCCTCAGCATCATATTGAGCATCGCCATCATCAGCAGCAGCATCATCGCCATCATCATCATCATCATCATCATCATCATCATCATCATCACCATCGTCATCAGCATCGTCATCGTCATCATCGTCATCATCATCCGCATCATCATCATCAGCAGCATCATCGTCATCCTCAGCATTATCATCATCGTCGTCGTCACCATTATCATCCCCATCCTCATCATAATCATCATCATCATCATCATCATCATCATCAGCATCATCATCATCATCATCTCATCTCCCTTCGAAGCTCAACACGGCGAGAGCCCGCCGAGTTCGACCGTTTCGCGCAGGCCGTTGGCCGCGCCCCCCCCCACCACCCACCGTCAGGGCCACACCCACACACACTTTTGGTCTGCGGGTCGAGAGCGAGCCTCTTCCGGTTAAGAGCTAGGCGGGCCGCGCAAAGCACTAATTGGGGAGAGAGCACAGGCGGGCGGGGCCTCAGGCGGCCGGAGGGCGGGCCGGGACCACACACACACACGCCGGCAGAGATGCGCGACGACGCGTGCTCGCTCCAGACCAGCTCATACGCGTGCGGCCTGACATTGATTCGCGTGAGCAGAAAACTCTCACTCGGAAGACTGCGGCCTTACCTGTTCCTCCCGCCGAATGATTAAAGTAACGCCGCCTGATCGGTCCAGACTAGCCAACACGCGTGCGACTTGAAGTAAATTCGCGTTAGAGGAGACTCGGGCAGGGCTAGGACAGGGATACATCGTTCCAGAGCGCTCTGCAACGGCCGCGGCGCCCGACGCATCCTCCAGAACCGCCGAGTCTCATCCCCGATATATATATATATATATATATATATATATATATACATATATACATATATATATATATATATACAAACATATATCTATATATATATATAGATGTATATCACGGTTCGATCTTGTCCCTGTTCTGGTTTCGCCTCGGGAGCCTCCCGCTCGGACGAATGCGGACTTTTATCTCTTCCCCCCTCCTCCTTTGACTCGGCCGCCCGAAGGAGCAGGACCCTCCGATCTTCCCTGAGGCGGGCATCGGCGCCCGCCGCCGCATGCGCCCCCTGGAGGACATGGACTACCAGCTGTTCCTCCCCAGGCTTAAGTCGGGCGTGTCCCCCTACAGGAGGATTTTCGATGAAAAATAAAGAGTACCCCAAAAATGCGAAAAACAAAAATAGTCCAAAGATAGCCTGGGGACCATTTTTTTAGTATTGGTTTACCTTTTTGTAGCAACTTTTAGGTCTCTTTTTTCATTTTTCGTCGAAAATCCGCATGTCGGGGGACACGCCCGACTTAACCCCAGGCACTGGAGCAACAATTCGCTGTACCCCTACCCCGTGGTCATCTACTTGCACAGCAAGGCGGAGCGCAAATGGGCCGTGATGAACTCCGGGAGCTTGCCCCGCCTGCTGGCCAGGAACCAGAGCACGTCGTTCGACAACCGCTCCTGCTGGTGCCTCAACTCGAGTTTTGAACAGGTCGAGATGTTTCAGGAAAACATGGCCAGCACGACAGAGGCGTACGACACGAGTGCAGCTCCAGCGTCGATTGCACCCACTCGTGCTGATTGCGACTTTGCCGACACTTTCAGGGCATTGGTGATCATGCCACAGGGGTGGACAGGGCAAGAATACCCTGGGTGGTACACTACTCAGTTTGAAAAACTCACAGCGCTAACGAGGGCCATCATGAAGAAGTTCAACGGCGATGCGGACAGAGTCATCGTCACCGGCGTGGCCGAGGGTGCCAAGGGCGCCCTGAAGTATGCGAGCACCACAGGATCGGGACTCGTCGCCTCTGTGATTGTCGCTGACGCGCCAAATGCAACGTTTAACGGCACAGGCTTGGACGATGTCCCGGTTCTGGCCTCTGGCGATGAGGGCGCCGGGCTTGCTGGCATGGACGACTTGGTGTTGTCCTTGAAGGTTAGGCTGCAACTCCTGGGAGGATGAAGTAGGCATCGCCTCGGGCACGTCCGTGAGATTCAAGCCCGATAATCCGGTCAGGTCTGGTTTCGTTTTGCCCACTCGTTGGCTTGATCACGCCTGATTGCTCTAGATGCGGGTTAACGGGATAGCGTTTTTTTTTATTCTCTGGCGATAACGGGCATGACCCGGGGGGGCAGGGTGGGACGTTGGGTGGACAAAAAGTGTTGACGCCCACCGCGCGAAGACAACGCTACGGCGAAGTCCGTTCAACAAATCGATAGCCTCCTCCCCCCCAAACCCAAAGATAGCACCGGTGCACGCGAGGCAACGCGCGAAGGACAGCACATGGACATTTCAAAGTTGGACTTCGGGTGGGAGCGGGTTTGGGCATACGTTACGCGAGATGCGAGATATTAACCAACATCACGTGATATGGTCTTCGGGCCATTGGTGTGGACACTTTGTGTTCAGCCACCGTTCCGGGTACATGTTTTTGAGTGGCCTCGTGGGTACCGAGATGCATACTCGCGTGCATGCCATTCAACGCTTGTTAGTGCTTGCGCACGCGTTGGCCAATACACACAACCATTCGCCTGTGTTCGCGCGTGTGGCACCAGTGGGGTCCCTGCGGGACCACCGCGGGACAGCCCGGGGGACAATCCAAGTGACAACCGCGGAAGAACCCAAGGGACTTGCGGGGCAACCGCGGGACAATCACCGGGACAGCCACGGGACAACCCACAGGACCACTAAAAACCCGAGCGCGAGCTTGAGACCCAGCCCGATCCCGAGCCTGGGCCCGAGCCAGAGACCGAGCCCGATCCTCAGAGCGCGCGCGCGCGCGTGCGCGTGCGCGTGCGCGTGCGCGTGCGCGCGTGTGCGTGTGCCCGTGCGTGCGTGCGCGCTTCCGATATGTTAGCATGCGTTTTAAAAAAGCTACTGACAATACTCACCTGACCTGCCAGTTAGGTGAAGATGTTGCTAGTGACATGTTCGACGGACTGTGGGTGGGTGGGTGGGTTCGTGGTTGGGGTGCGGGCCACTCGCAGTCCCGATAGCACTTGGGAAGACTACTCGTCATAGAATTCTTACACTACGCGTGTGGCAGGACAGGGTAGACGTGTTACTCGTGCCAGGTCAAGTTTTTCCAAAAAACAGTACTTACATTTAGGGTTGTTCATTTCTTGTCTGAGGAAATGGGCCTGGCTGTTGGTCCGGCGGCTATGTTCTCGCCGTCGGCACCCCGTCGCCGCCTCGTCGCCGCCGTCGTCTAGGCCTGGCCGTTGGTCTGGCGGCCATGTTCTCGCCGTCGCCATCGTGTCACCGCCTCGACACCACCCGTCGTCTGGGCCTGCCTGGCGGTCTGGCGGCTATGTCGTCTCCGTCGCCACCCCTTTGCCGCCTCGTCGCCGCCAAGATTGTGCAACATAGGTTGCACCGCATCACATCGATTGCATCAGATAGATTGCACGATGTCGATTGCACCACATAGATTGCACCTCATAGATTGCACAACATAGATTGCACCACATATGGCATCACGTCCAGTGCACCACGTAGATTTGGGCGCCACATAGATTGCACTATGTAGACTGCACCGCGCATCTTGCTCAACATAGGTCGGACAACCTATATTGTACAACCTAGACCGCACGACATATATTGCACCACGTAAATTGTTTCACTAATATTGCACAACATAGATTCTCCTTTCTTAAAAGAGAATAGACTCTACCCCCCCCCCCCGGACTTATCGCTTCCCCCTGGGATAGTATGATTTCATATGTTTCTGCACACTCGTCCATCCTAAATGTGAAATCATACCATCCCAGGCAGGCCGGGTTCCCCCCCTGAGGTTCCCTTGTAAAAAATACTATGCGGTGACATTGTTTGTTAGAACAAAACACTTTTTCACGAATCACCTACAAAAAATGTGACGAAGGGCACACGCGCGCGTCGTCGCGCGCGCATGCCGAAATCCTTCAAAAACTTTCGGTGCCGGAAGGATTTCGCAATCGAGTTTCCAAACAACATACAAAAACACATGGTTTCGCAACACTGATTTGCTAAAGAAGCTTCCGCGCGAGCTCTTGCGAAATCTTAAGAAAACCATAGGTTTTTCAAGATTTTCACATAATGCTACCAAACGGGCTTCGCGCGCGCGCATGTCGAAATCTGTCGAACGCCCTTGCGAATGTGCCGTCGCGAGAACCCTCTGCAAAAAAAGGGACGAAGTGCAGACGCGCGCGTCGTCGCGGGCGTATGCCGAAAACCTTCAAAATGCATCGGTTTCGGAAGGATTTCAAAATCGTGCGTTCAAAAAACCTACAAAAACACAAGGTTTCGCAACACGGATTTTCAACAAAAGCGTGCGCGCACGCTCTTGCGTCGTCGTCGTCGTCGTCGTCGCCGTCCTCCCTCCTCCCGCATCGTCGTCGTCGTCGCCTATGTCGTCCTCTGTATTTTCTCGTGTTCGTCGTCGTCGTCCTCTTTGGCGTCGTGGTCGTTTCCGTCGTCGTTGTCGCCGTGGTCGTCCTTCCTCCTCCTCCCACGTCGTCGTCGTCGTCCGTCGTCGGCGTCTCGTCGTCGTCCCTCCTGTTTCGTCGCCGTCGTCGTCGTCGTCGTCGTCGTCTTCCCTCCTCCCTCGTCGTTGTCGTCGTCGGCGTCGCCGTCCTTCCTCCTTCGTCGTCGTTCGCGTCGTCGCCGTCCTCCCTCCTCCCTCGTCGTTGTCGTCGTTGTCGTCGTTGTCGCCGTCGTCGTCCTTCCTCCTCCTTCGTCGTCGCCTTCGTTGGCGTCGTCGTCGTCTTCGTCGGCGTCGGCGTCGTTGTCGTCGTCGAAGTCGTCGGAGACGTCGTCGGTGTCGTCCTAGTCGTTGTCGTCGGTGTCGTCGTAGTCGGTCTTAAGAGGTGTTGCAAACCAAGTTGCGGGTGGGTGGGTGGGATGGTTGCACGAGCAGTGGAGATGACGACTTCAAGTTCAGCAGAGTGGATTGCACAGCATAGATTTCACCACGTATGTTCCACCAAGGAGACTGCTCCACAAGTAATGCACAATATCAACTGCACAGCATAGAGTACACAACATAGACTTCATAACCTATATTGCGCCAAGTAGATCCCTTCACATAGCGCGATCAACATAGGTTACACAACCCATACTCACACGCACACAATGTTTAGGGGTCCATCTGGCTACCATTTGTTTCCATCTAATCTACGGTTATCATCCCCAACCCTATTTCTCTCGCGGGTAACGTGCGAGCACTGTCGGTGTTTTGTTAACGAGGCGCATGAATTCCCACACCTGTGCGCCCCGCGAGGGGGACGACGCTCGCACTAAAAACAGCACGCGCCAGCTTCATAACCCACAGGGCAGGTCTTGCAAGCTCGGTCGGTGGACAAGAAGTGTCCACGCGCATCGCGCCAAGACAACGCTGCGGCAAAGGGCATCCAAAGAGCTTAGTCCCCTCTCCAGCTCCAAAGTTGGCAGCGGCGCACGCGAGGCAGCGCGCGCAGGACACAATGTGGGCACCTCAACGTTGGGCTTCGGGGGGGAGGGGGTTGGAGACATAGTTTCTGCAAGATGCTACGCGTCGGTCGGTGAAAGTAAGCATTTTTGGATTCCCAGATACCAACCTACTTCTAGCACCTTCCTACTTCAAGAATCGGCATGCGTTTGCTGTGGGTTGTATTCTCTGGGAGTGCCTGTACCCAACCTATGCTATCCGCCTTCCGACTTCATGTGTTTACCTACTACTTCCGACCGACGTGTATCCAACATCACGTGATATTGTATTCGTGTGGGCACTTTTTGCCCAGCCACCAGAGGGGGCCGGTATGACGTCACGGTTCGCGCTGGCGCCGTCTGGGAATGCTTCGGAATGGATAACTCCCACACGGCGCCGGCGCGAATCGTGACGTGACCAGGGGAGGGGGGAGGGGGGTCGGGGCGGGTCACGGGCGCGATCGCGAATGATAAAGAAGACGGGCTCCAGCTCCTCATCCGTAGGTATCGAGTTGGGGGCAGCAGGGTATCCATATCCAACCCTCCGCGAGATCCTCGGGGTCGCATATGGAAAACCCCCCGGGCGCAACCACGCAATCGTGCCCACAAAGACCTCCGAGGAGAGGTTGCAGCCTAATGAAGGGGCGCACGCATGGTACCGCCTTCACGCGCTACCGGCGGTACGTCACGTCGCCCGGCCCGGCCGACCCGTCCTTCGGCGGTGGTTGGAGACTGTCGCATGCCACCAGTCCACCCCCCTCTCCACCTCGACACTCGAGCATCGAGGATCCAGATTTTTGCCCCGTTTGGCCCCTGTCGGGCTTCCGGAGCCTTCCAGGGAACCCTGGAGATTTCCGTGAATCTGGATGTCCAAATTTGAGTCCGACCCTATCTTGGGAGGCCTCCAGTGAAACGCCGCAGACCTCTGGAAGCCGTCTCCCTAACCCGCTTCCCACTGCTCATTCGTGGGGGCAAGGGGAGATCTGTGTTTGGAGAAAGGATATCATGACATCATCACCGCCAGCAGGGCCACCCCCGTCCAGGAGGCCCACAGTGTCCCCCCCCCCTGCCCGGGGCTGGAGGCTGGAGGCGGTCTCGAGCGGAACGCCGAAAATTGATAATCATAAAAACCACCGCACGAGGGCCCTCCTCTGCCCCTTTGGCCAAGGTGATGTGAGTGTCGTCTGTCCTTGCCCCCAGCGGACGGGACAGTTTGAGGGATGGGGCCGGCAGGCGTGGGGCGGCTCTCTAAGGTAGGTACAACCACAGCTCGGACCTCCTCTACCGCGACCAGACCTTGTGGCAGTGGGCATTCTCGAAGAGGATCAGGGGCGGCCGGGGCAAGTGGGACTTGCCGGAGCTGGACTACGTGGCCGTCGGGGGGGACCATCACTCCCAGCCTCGGCGACCAGATAACGTTCCTGTGGGAGCGGACGATGGCTCCCAGCCTCGGCAACCAGATAGCACGAAGCCCAGCAGGCCTCACCACGCGAAGTCTACGTCATATAAGAAGCCAAACTATCATTGGTAGAAGCGTCCTACAGCTGTCGTGAAGCATTGATGCCCACCAGGCCTAATCACACTGTAGGCTCCCAGGTCTAAAGTCCAGAGTAGATGTGAAAGGGTTGCTGCCTTGGCCCAGCATAACGCCCATCCCCCGCCAATGCGGAAAGGAATGATGCGGGTGGTCTCACGGGGAGAGGCAAACAGGGGAAGGCAGGACGACCACTCCTTTCACACAGGCAGGGCTGTTGCTTGTGTGAGCCTCCTGACCGGAGCCCAGTAAGGAGCAATGCCTGCGAGACCTGCATTTCTAAGCGTCTTAGGGGGCTGGATGTTGTGAGGGCCCGTGTCCGTTCGTTTCCTGTTCAACGGTTGTTTTATCCATCCTGAGGCCATTGCCACTGAGAGTTGGCAACAGTTTTAGACATGCAGCAAGAACATGTGCATACTCCTAGGAGGGGCCCAAGTGAAATCGGCAGGCACTGCAGGTAACGAGTCCGCCACATGTCACACAGCGCGCGCACACATGGGTCACGCGAAAAGCTGTGCGCCACGGCAGGAGGAAGATGAGTCAGAATGAGAAGGAGGAGAAGAGGAGGGGTAGGACAAGCACTAGGAGCCACAGGCGGCACAGAAGGGTGAGGATGGGGAGGGGGAGGGCGCGGACGAGCAGCAGAATGAGAGCCCTGATCCCCCCTGAAGACGAGTCCACCAGACGATCTGCGGCCTGCCGCGGCTGAGCAGAAAATCAGCGCACACTGGATATGGCCGCCCAGTTTGGCGGCGAAAACACACTAAACTGCCCCCAACCAACTACCCAACAAGGGAGGAGGAGGAGGAGGAGGAGGAGGAGGAGGAGGAGGAGGAGGAGGAGGAGGAGGCTTTTTGACTGCACTTGGCTCGTTGCAAGTAGCTTGAGCTGGGTGGCCGAGGTCGGCCAGGCGGCAGACAGAGCCCGCCTAGCGGGCACAGCAAAGGTTCTCCGCTCCTGGTCCGTCCGCAGGCAAAAGCGATTCTTCGCCATTGGACCTGCATGATGGGCGGGGGAGGTATTGGCACCGAAGGGGAGGGAGGGGGAATAATAAAAAGAGAGGGGATCGGTGCCGTGCGAGAAACACTGAGCGCGCCATCTAGGCGTTGCCCTATGCGGGCAGCGCTGAACGACCGAAGAGCAGCAAAGCTAGCCTCAGGGACGGCCACCTGGGAGCATGGCTTAGCCATGGAAATGAGCGGGATGAGTAGGAAGAGGGCCAAAATGGCCCTGCCGCGCTGTAGGGCGGCCGTGGCGGAGCGGACCAGGAGGGAGAGGCTGGCGTTGCCGCCAAGAGACTAGGAAGCCCCATCGGTAACGCACGTGACCGGAAAAGGGGGCAGGTGAGAGAGCGCCTGTGCTGTGCTGGGCGTCTTGGAGTAAACGTGGTAAGAGGGGAGGGATGAACATAAGGGAGGGAGAGGGATTATCTTGTCCAGCCAAGCAGCGCTAGGGCGCGATAGCTGTCTGGGCAGCATTAGCCGAGAGTTACTCGGCGGGTGGGATGTGCTGCGGCGGCAACTTTGCTTGCAACTTTGCTTGCCGCAGCATCGACTCAGCCGTGGCGAGTCTGCGAATTGCGCTGTGAGCATTGCTCCGACCGCTCTGCTGGTAGCGTGGCTGCTCAAAAGTGTCGCTTTGGCCTGGCCGCAATGCTGCGGCAAGAATGTGTGAAACTAGAGACTGGTGCTGGCTACAGCTCTTGCAGCTGGCCCGCCCTCTGGATGGGGCTGAAGAAAAGCGCTGAAGGGCCCGCTGCGACGAGACTATAGGACAGCTCGGCCGACCTTAGATTGGAGCAGCATAGCTCCTCAGCTGGTGAATTACGGTACGTGTGGCTGGCTAGGGCTATCTAGGTGGTGGGCTGCCGATATAAGCAGAGACTAGGGTATTAGGCTGGCCCACCACCTATGAAGACTCAGCCGTGGCGAGTCTGCGAATTGAGCTGTGAGCATTAGCTGTCCGCTCTTCTGGTAGCGGGGCTAGCTAAAAGTGTCGCGTTGGCTGCACTAGTGCGGCAGAGAGGTGTGAAGCTGGAGACTGGTGCTGACTACGACTTTGCAGCGGGCCTTTGGCATGTGGCTAAATGAAAGAACTGATGGGCCCGCTGCGACGGGATTGCAGGTCGGCTCAGCCGATCTTAAATTGGAGCAGCACGGCTCTCCAGCTGTAAACATTTGGCTCGTGTGGCTGGCTAGGGCTGTCTAGGTGGTGGGCTGCCGTGGTGAGCAGAGATTAGAGTATAAGGCTAGCCCACCACTTATTATTTGCGCCGAGGTCGCCCTTGTCGACCTGGGATGGCGCCGGCTGGGAGGTAGCACGCTCTAGGGCCCGCTCATGCACCGCGCGGCTGCCGCGCGGCCGCCGACGCCGCCGCTCGCGCCCAGGCCTCCAGCGGCATGGTCTCGACCTCTGAGATGGTCGCCAGGCCTGGAGCCTCTATCCATTCCCAGTCCCAAGTTTCGACGACCTGGCCGTTGATGACGTCGAGCGACTTGAGCTTCCACACGAACGGGTAGAGCATGCCGTTTGGCATCTTCCATTCGCCAGGGTACGTAGCTGGCCACCATTTCTTGAACCCCCTGTTGGCGGCAATGTACTGGGAGCCCTGCCATGCCGAGCCCGAGTACGTGTCGCCTGATAGGCCGAAGAGCTCGGCCGCGGCCTCCTGCGGGGGCGTGGCCCCCTCAGTCGCCGCCGTAGCGCGCCCGCCCGCAGGAACCATGGCTGCGCTGCGCGCTCTGAGAGGAGGGGGAGTGCGGAAGGAGCGAAAAGAAATAGCCCATAAGCCAACGGCCATATATGAGTGAAACCTAACTGGCTTACGCGTGCGCCTGGGCGAGGAGGACCCTCCTGATGGGCCGACTGATGCATGCTTGGCCCGGTGCTGAGTCGATAGGGATGAGGATGGTTCCGCTGCGCATGTTGACCCGCGGCGAAAGGCCGGTGCGAAAAGGTATGCCCGTGCCGAATAAAATGGACCGTGCATCGGTCTCCTGAAGAATGGGGAGGTGAAAAAAGCGTGGTCTCTCCACTGAAGATGGCAGCCGGGTTTCCTACCCGTGGAATTGCTCCATTAGGAGTTCTACATTGATGGGCAGTGGAGACCAGAGCTGAATGTGACCTGCCGTGATCACTACCAGCCACTGTACGACTGTAGGCTGCGGTGGCACGGCCTCAGCGGGTGCGCAGCGGACGTCGCCGTGCTCGAACTGCGGCAGGTGCTGCGCATCTGGGGTCGGCATGGCCCGAGGGGCTATGGTTCAGGGAGGCGGAGGATTCGAGAGAGGTAGGACAACGGAAGGCAAAATGGCCGCACCAGGATCATGGCCTGGAAGTCAATTAGGATGGGGCTGCCAGCCGCTGCATCCTCCAAAAGACGCTGAGGGATGAGAGCAGGCTGTTCCCAGGCCCCCGTGTGGGGGAGGTCCAGAAAAATCTGGTCGGGCACGTAGACAGTGACCAAACTTATAGCGGGTGAGAAACGGGCAGCATAGGGGCCTTCACCCGCTGCGCGATGAGGATAAATGTGGAGTAAGTTGGGAGAGTTGGCCTCGCACCAACGCCCATACCACCGCTCGACTGTGTGATTAGCGACATCGGGCAAGTCCATGTGGAGCTCGGGGCCTACGGTAGCGCGGGCGTGTGGCAGAGCAGGCGGCCCGCTCTCGAGCTGCCATGTAGCTTGCCATTGGGGTGCCGAGGCAGGCTGGCACACAGCGGTAGGAGACAGTAAAAGAGCGTGGCGCCTCGAGCCGCCGCTGAGAAAGCGGTGGACTTGCTGGTGGGCCAGGAGAAGCCGCCCCGCCAGGTACTCCCAAAAGGGCCATGCGCTGCGAAAGTCTGGTGGCAGCCGCTCCATAATGCGGAGCAAATCTAGGTGCCTCCCCGGGGCCGCTTCAGCAGCGGGCATGTCCTCGTCTGCGTCGGCGTTGCCCAGGGCGCTGAGCTCGCGCATCATGGCCTGTGGGGGGAGAAGCGAAGGAAGGGAAGCAGAGAGAGGTAAGGAGGGAAGAGGTAGGCCTGGGCTGAATTACAGCTGCATGGCGTAGGTTTAACGCCTGGCGGCGTCGCCTCCTTCACGAGGCTTGCGCGGCCGCCTGGGCGAGAGACGCTGACCGCAATGCGAGAGGCTTTCGCCTTCTCTTAACTGAAGTTTGAGGCGCTCCCTGTGTATCCTGTCGATACGGAGCTGGTCCTGCCTATGCTCCTCTTCGAGCTGGGCAATCCTATTCTCGTGCGCCTTGAGGACTGTACTGCGCTGCTCGTCCGATGCTGCGTCTGGCGCTTCGGCAGGCGAGTGCGGGCGCGGAGCAGCATGGGCAGCACGGTGAGACTTGCGAGCCTTATGGTGCCTTGGAGGAGGAGAGGCTGGAGGCGAGGCCGTGCCGCGGAATGCCTGCGGGCTGCTTTGAGCCTCGGCTGGTCCGCGGCGCTGTGGCGCCGGCTGCTTGAGCGCACTCTTGCGCGGCTCCGTGCTTCGGCGCGAATTGTATGCCACCCTAGGGGCTTTGGCCGTGAATTCGTCTGTAAAGGAGACCTGCTTGCGCTTGCGAGTGGCAGAGGCGCGGGGCACTGCTGGCTGTTCAGCTGGCTCCGGAGAATCCTGCGGGGGAAAAGGGGAAGAGACAGAGGAATATGAGGCATCGTCTACCTGCGCAAGCCTCCTAGGAAACGCAGGCGAACTGGAGGCCCTGCGCGGCCGACGCCTGTGGGGGGCTGCAACTTTGCGGGATTCGCGCGGAGGTGGAGGTGAGGGACGCGCAGCATGGGGTGGAGAAAAAGGAGAGGCGGCCTGGCCGATCCAGCCTTCCGGAATGGCGGCTTTGGCCTTCACTGTGGGATGATCAGGGGGAGGCAAGGGGGGCACGGCACGCGGAGGTGGCGGAGGATGAAAGGTGGCTCCATAGATGTGCCTGCCGCGTCCCACGGGGGGGCCGTTGAAATCGCCAGGTGGGCGTGGGGGACCTGAGGCTGAGGGAGTGCTAGACAGGGAGCGCTGCACTGCCTTGGCTACCTGGGCGAACTGGGCAGGTGAGAGCAGGGGGGGAGGAGCTGAGGCTGAGCGAAATTGGCCCGGTGGCGGATGCCTGGGTCTGGCCTCGCGAGGCACCAGCACCCACGGCCCTCTGGACATGTGCCGCCTGCCTAAATGTCGAAGATGTCGGCGTTGAAGTCCTGCGGGGC